CACCCGCTGTAAAAAACCGACATTCTTTTACCCGAAAGGCTCTATAAACGGCAATGAGAAAATATAAAATATGGTACATATAATGGATAATTTTTGTATGAATAATGTCAGTGATCTTTAACGATTTTTCTTATTTCGTCTATATTTTTAGCGAACAGCTAAACGTAAACGTCGTCAGACCGTTCAGAATCGTCGAAAATTGGATTTAGGCTATGTGTTTAGAAATCCAACATTTACTAATGTTTGGCAATTTAGTAAAAATTTCTTCCTAAAACGTTCAATAGGACATTTTGTATTATGTTTCCTGTTCACTGCAGTATTTAATTTATATTTTTTTTCACAAAAAATGATCGCATGGTTACAAAGTAAATCAATAGCAACAGCATCAATTGATATTTTCAATACAACTGTAGACGATATTGCTCCCGTTTGAAATGACTTGTGTGCTTTCTTTTTTATATTCGTTCATGCTATTTAATGATTTTCGAGAAACTATATTTTTACATGAATATTCAATAAACATCTATCTATATGTGTATTAAGAAAGACGTCTTTGAATAATGCGATAGTGCACATTTTATCTGACGTAACATAAAAAAAATTATCTGGCACTGTGTTTAGTTCAGCTCATCGACGGTTAAATCAAGAATTTTTTAAGATATGATATGTTGTTTTAAAGCTATGCAGCAACGTTAACAATCCGTTGAAATCTAATTTTTAATATTTTGAATTTTCAGTGAGCTTATGGTTAATGGCGATTTTTAGACTGAACAAAATAAATACTTAAATGATAAGGCAACGATGCTGTTTCTTACCTCTACATTGTTATTTGTTAAATTCCCAATTTATCAATAAGAGAAGAATAAGTGATACTTTGAAGTAAAGCAATAATTAAGGAGCAACTAAGCACTTCTACACAGTTGTGTGTAAATTCACCTCTTTTGCTCTTAGATGTTATATGGAACATGTCGAAAAAGTGGTCAGAAAAGGCTATTTTTTGCTTTCAGGAAGCCTAGGAAAGCCTGATTTTTATTTGAACCATTGATGTTAAAGTTTTTCTGACGGTATCCAGTGGATAGAGCGTAAAAGATTGTATATTATCATCTGCAAATTAGGTTTTCACCCTTGACGTTTCGAGAAAAATTTTAAGCGGGAGCCTTACGTACTTTGAAAAAAATCACTCATTTCATAAAGCATATAACTTTACCTCAAAGTTTAATAAAATATAACTTTATCTATGACCAAACAAAAGCGGTTTCCAAGCTTGCTCGAATGACGCAAGAAGCAAGTCTCCAGCCTCTTTCCGTTCTTCGCGATAGGCCTAGCCGTGAGGCGTACTTTTCGAGAAATGAACTACCATCTGATAGGCTCCTCGAAAACTACACCTCAACTTTCTGAGATATTGTTATTCCACACACTACTCGACTAGTACTACAAAAGCGCGCAAGTCTTGATTTTATATAAATGATTTTTTTTAAGGTTTTCTAGAAATCCGACTAAAATTCTGGATTCCTCATAAATTATACCCAAGCTGATCTCGGATTCATGTTCATCATGCCCGTTTACCCATAGTTCAGTGTTTTTTTCTATCTCTGAGGGCTGTTGGATGATAGGATTTTGATTCTTACGAAAACAAAAAAGAACTTGAAAAAATACTGCAGGTAAACTCATTCATTAATAGTATCCTCAATAATCATCAGAGATACATATTAAAATTCCAATAGAGTAAAATTCAAGATCAATCATTCCAAAATTTTCATCATCTAAACTGAAATGGATAACCAACGCAAAGAAAAATTCGTTATACATTATACCAACATCTGTTGGTATATTCAATGATCTAATAAAAAATGTTGCCTGGAAAAATACTTCCGCATTATCCAGATGTAAGGTGTTTCTTATCTAAAAAAGTAGAAGATTTTCATGAATCTGAAAAAAGCGTATATAAATATGTGGGCCACTAGAGGAAATAATGGAAAGTTTGTTGATCAATAAAAGTTATCTGGAGCATGAAATGGAACGAATTGTAGTAAATAACAGAAAATAATTAAAACGATCAAGGTCATTTCTGCCAATAAAAGTAATCGAAATACATTTTATCACAACCAGGTTAAGATTATCAATGTTAAGTTCACCAGAGCCAGCTGCTATTTCTACTATACTATAACAGTGTATTAAATGTCAACTATCTGGCCGCAAACCACACTGGAACCATCCAAATGAATCGATCAAAGTCAGTACACCTTTTCAACTATTATAATAACGTGCATCGTTAACTCTGATCGATTCTTTTGGAGAGTTCCACTGTGCAATCCTTACACTTTTTTACATTTTTGAGTAGAGAAGAGTCTTGAAAGTTTGACAGTCCAAAAATCATCTGATTTAGCCCATAAAATGCTTGAGTTATGAGCGATTTATTGAACAAAAGTTTTTCCATGTACTGTAGAGAAACAAAATGCAAGAAAAATAGCCATCTGTATTGCTTGCTTGCTGTACTATCCATATATATCTTGCGTTCTATCGATGATGACAGAGGAAAATCTTTTCTTCACGACAGAGAGAAAACGAAAGAAAAAAACATAACATGTAGGCTAGACATAGGCGTGACCGTCCTTGTCCTGGTCCCGGGACTAAAAATGATTTTTTGTCGGGACCGAAACAACTTTACAGGACCAGGACTAAAAAACCTGGATCCCGCCCATATCTAAGCTCATTACATTTAGACATGTGCGCCGGGCGGAAAATCGGCGGCGGCGTGAAACAACAGTTTTCCGATCGATGACGGCGACGTAGCTCCCTTTAAAAGCTTTTCCATCTTTGGTGGCGGCGTCTAAAAAAAGTTGTTCAGTCGGCGGTGGCTAAAAGATTTTTTTGAAATTTTTTCCTCATCAGCGAGACTGGGCTAATTACAATATGACTTCGTGTTTTTTCTAATTTCTGTTAAATTTTTTATTCCAAAACTTTGTCTATCGGCGGAGGATAAAACCAGTTTGTATTTTTAGCATCGACGGCGGGAAGCTCCCAAAAATTTCGACGTCCTGGACGGCGGCATACAGGCCTAATTACAATAATATCAAACACGAAAGAGGGAGATGATAACTCTAGTACTAAAGTAAAATATTCAGCTAAGATGATTCATACAGATAACGTTGATGATAATTAAATTGAAGTAAAATTGTAGCTTTGAAATACATTCTATATATTATATCTTGTTGACTCATATCAGAAAGAGGAGAAAAGTATACTTATAAGTTTAATGTTTCCGCTATGGTCTCAACAATCTGTAGACAAATTTGTAGACTGACGTAGTTGAAAACTATAAACAGGGGCAATCGAGAAAAACAAAACCAATTCTCTCTACTAGTCACTCAATAATAAAACAAGAAACAATATCAACAAAAAATGCGAAAAGAAAACAACTTTAACGATCATTATGTATATAGGCTAGAAACTGTGAATTTAGTTTTGCAGTTTACTACAGATTTGTGTTCATATGTTTGAATTTAAATCTGTATAAAAATTGATTTTGTATTTTCCAATAAAGTTTTACAATGTTATAATGGATTTTATTATCTAATTTATATATCTAAGTTCTTAGTTATCGCACTTATACTCTCGTACAATCGTACAAGTACAATCTTCGTCTAGCACTTTACTTCTCTTTCAATAAACAGTCGAAATAGAGAATTACTTTATGAATGAACAAAGATTGCACTATTTATTCTATGAACGATTCACTGGATAATAATTTTAGAAGGACATCATCTTTGCTTTATTTACTTTCATTATCCAATTTCTCTTTCTTTTTATGAAATCACTCGCCTTCTCACATGAATACAATAATCAAAAAAAACAAAAAAAAATTTTCTTTAAAAACTGAACAAACATCAACAACAACGATAAGAAAAAACAAGAACAAAAAAACGTGAGAAAAGAGAGAAAAAAAATCGAAGTTTTTTTATCGGAAATATACTTTTTTAGTCAAGAACATAATATATGCAGTTCAAAACAAAAGAGTTTATTTGACGGCATGTATGATGGGTGGCAAGTTTGTGTCCGTGTTAGTTGCACACCTCTTTAAATGAGAATACATTGAAGAAAAAAATATATATCACAAATAGTACACAACAGAAGACAATCACGAAAAAAAAAGAACGGATAATAACATAGACGCGATAGTTGCTGTCAGAAAAAAAATATATATATATATATTGGTCAATGAAGATCTTGCAATTATCGACGGTTAATTGAACAATGATATAAAGAGAAAGAAGACAGTAACAGTGATAAATACAAAAAATATGATAGTTTACTGACTTTAGAGGAATAATAATAATAATAATAATAATAATAATACTTTAAAATTCGTGCGTGTGGGAGAAAAAAAAGCGAAGTGGTCTCATACGCGATGTTTTACTGTTGTGTAAGTTAAAAAATAAACAATCCGTTACTTAGAGAATCCGAGTGATAGATGAAAGACGATACATTGTTAATTGCGAACGAAAGAGAAGGGAAAAAAATACAATATATAAGGTAGCGAAGGACGCAGTCACCGTTCAAATGAAAAAAAAAGGAACATTGAAGACAATATGACGAGACGGTTTCATTTTGTTTGAGTAGGGAAAGAAATGCACTCTCACTTACTCTTTAAAAACAAAAAATATAGGTCTTTTTGAGAAAAATAAAAGTAAAAAAGAAAAAACACGCACAGCATAGCATACGCGCACACGCAGAGAGAAATGCCTGACTTTTTTTTATTCGATAACGAAAGACTCTTCAGATAAAGATAGACTTGGTAGAATTATTCATTCAATAGTCTTCTGTTTCGTTAGATTTATCAACACAAATGAACAATTTAGTCGTAGTATAGTACATTTTGAAATAAAGTATGAAAAAATGTGGTATATATCAAAAAGTTATCATTATTAAGGGATTTTATTATTTTCATCCACAAAGGCTACATATTGTCGAAATTAAAAGTATTTGTCATTCAGTCATTATCAATGCCGATTTGTATTTGAATAATTTGGAGTAGAATAACGTTGATGACGATTATTGCCACTGTTTCGATTATCCTAAAAAAAGAATAAAGAATGAAAGAATTGATAATAAAAAGAAATATTCTATTGTCATACACGATTGTCTGTCTGAAATTGAAATGATCTATCGGCGGTCGTGGTTGTTGCAAACGGGGGAATACAATTATGAAAATGTGAAAAAAAGACTGGGGTTGTGAATGCAGCAGCGGTAGCTGGTAATGTTGATGGTTTTAACATGCCATTGTTAGGTATCAGTTCTAAGAGAATTGAATGAAATTAATTATAGTACTCAAGTATGATTAAGTTTTGTTGTTTTTACCTGTTGGACGGACTTGAGAATACTGATCTACAAATAAATAACACATTATTGATTGAGAGTTTAATTAGAAACATAAAATCCTCATGTCTCACAGCCAGCACACTGATTTTTCAAAAAAGTAAACCAATTTGAACTACAACAACTATATATCATGCACCTTTTTGAAAGATAAAATTGTTTAGTTTGGTTGTAATATCACGAGTGCAAATATATTCAAAACACGCAAAGTTATAGATATAGTACACGATTGTGCAACAGTTGTTTTAATCACTAGTATGAATGTCTTCCCTAATATATTTGGCACTCTGTATTATCGTCAAGCAGGAAATTAAATCAATGAATGAAAATTAAAAAGTGATCAATCATATCATGCCTGCATGCAATAGAAATTAATTGATAGACAGTGTTTTAGGAAGCTGACAATCGATTCTTACATGAACATGAATAGCCATTTCGATGGGAATTTCGTTTCATTATGTTGTTTTCTAACATCACTAGAAGGAATTTGCTGGCCTACTTGATTTACGATTTAATCAAAATTCAATATAGGCGTATCAAAAACATAACATTAGAAAGATCAAAGAGATTTGATGTTATCTAACTGTTATATATAGACAATTATACTCTATTTAGTCGCATTATTTCGAGAAACAGAAATACGAAAACAATATCAATTATTGACTGTCAGATAAACAGTAGAACAAAGTTATTCTTTAAAAAGGAGCAATAGATGAAATTCGTATTAGCAGCAATAGCAGCAGCAGCAGCAATGAGTTAAGACTATATTTTTAATCACTGGATAAAAAATTAAGAGGTATGAAAACATTGCCATCATTTGCATCTGTTTCATAATTAAACTGTTGTGGCTGCTGCTCCATTTGGCTAATATCGAACCAGTATAAATTTGAACTGTTATTTTCATTATAATTACCCATAGATAATCCTTTCTGATCTATAAGGATATACAACTTCAACTTCGGTGTGTGCCAGAGAGTAAATGAGTCTTATTTATTCCACATAGTAATACTAAAGAACAGAAACTTACTTAGTTTCGTTGTTGCAGCTGAATGATGAAAAGGAGGACTTTGTATTGCTGATACCATATTATAAGCTAAAACACAAAGAAAATCAGATTTAGATCAACGTTTTCATAAACATAGACATACCATTTGGCTGATGCTCAAGTGGAAAGTATGTATTGTACTCGCATGGCCATACCTAGAAAGATAAAGAAGTTAGAAGTAGAAATTCAAAGCTTTTAGTTTCCTAGTAGGAGCAAATTTTTTGAAAAAAATTCCAAAGGCAGAAAAGCTTTTCTCAATACTTGAGTAAATTTATTGAAATCAGATCCATTCTGATATAGTTTTTCTGATTTCAGAATACTTTGATTTATTTGCTATTAAGTAAAACGTCTATAGATAAGATTTGTGGGATAATTAGCTTTTACTCCTGATACTTTAACTGCGACAAGAAAGAGTTTTTCAAAATTTCTGAAACAACGAAATCATTCAGTGAAAGACAACTTTTCATTCTAAACCGAAAAAAGACAAAATTTTAGAGAAGATTTAATCACTAGAGGACGCACAACAGGAAAAGCATTTTACTTCTGCTGTTTGTCATAAAAATTTTATTTGACGTTCAATCCCTATTATCTTTCTCATATAAGATCGTACAATACAGATTTGACGTATAACAAATGATATGATAGAAGATAAATAAAAATAAATAAAATTCCTTTTTTTCTGCAACGAAACAACAATTAATTAGTGCTGAAGTTTATATTCTCAAACAAACGCTTTTTAGTGAAAGAACAACTGGCGTAATGGATAATAAAAAAGAAAATAATTATTAACAGCCAACCACAAAGATTTTTAGAATAATTTAGGAGAAATCTTATCATTGAGGAAATACACAACTACAAACAAGCAAACTTATTATTATTTTTTTGCAGAAACATCGCTCTCGTAACTTAGTCTATCCTGAGTGCGTCTAATTTATCTGTTTCAACATCGGTTTATTATTACTGTACAGGCATATGTTTTAGGTGAGCAAAATTGCTTACTATTGGATATATACATGGTTGAGGTGGTGCTTGAAAATGTTGCTGTGGTGGATATGCATTTGCATGATGAACAGCTTGTTGTTGTTGAATATTTTTATTTTCTAAAGATAGAAATATTAAAAATCTTTATTTACCACAGCTTTCGCAACCGAGCCACGGTTCAACATACGTGAATTTTTCACATAACGTGACTGCTGTGTTATCCACATCTGTGGTTGTTGTTGAATAATATTTGCAACACCAGAATAGTGCTCATGTGTCATTGGACTAGGAAAAAAAAAGGAAAAATCATATTATATTTACGATAAAAAAACTACGGAATAGAGCGATGAAACAAGACATCAAAAATATCATGTAATTTGAATCTAATAAAAATATGAATGGAAACGACAATTCAAGTTTAAGAGAGCAAAAGAATATTTACTTGTGAGATCCCGAAGCGGGAGAATTTGTTTGTAGATTTGTGAAAGAAGAAAATCCATTATTTAGAGATAATTGTGACTGCTGTTGTTGTTGTTGTTGAAATAATTGGTTATTGTAGTATTGCTGTTGTTGGTTATTTCCATTTCGAATTGAATGAGCTAATGTAGTTGTAGAAGAATTTGTTGAATGAGTGGGTGTTTTCTGAGAATTGGACGCATTCGACTGTTGTTGGATATAAGATGTAGCCGAAGATTGTTCTGGATGTTGTTTAATATGATCGGATAAATGTACACTGTTATTAACTACGCTATTGGTTGAGGTTAAATCAGGTTCCGATAGTTTGTTTTGCTAAAAAGAAAATCAAACAATTTTTTATCACAAATTTTACAGATTCCACAAGAGTCCTTATTTCATTACAAACACTACTTATCTTAGAAATAGTAGGAGAGAGAGGAAACCCGTTCCGAGGATAAATCGTTCAAGCTCTCAAATAGCTAGTTAAAATTAGGATCTATTTTTTTATAACAGTTATGCGCTACCGTCAGTGGACTTAGCACTCCTATATCCAATGGAGGTAATCAGATAGACAGTTACTGTTGCTCTTTGCTTTTAGATTAAATAAAAAATACTCAAAACCGCTCTTTTTTTTGCTATACACTGTGTGAAAAACCTTGACTTGTAAAATCTGTGAAACTTGTAGAACCCACATTAAACACTGAATTGATTGTTGACTGAAAATTATGCGACTGAGGTTTTGATAACGAAGTAGTGGAAGACGATAATAATTGCTGTTGAGTATCTGATAAAACATTTGATTCATCATTGATTGTATCGTTTATGCTGGTGAAGTTAGGCGTTACATCATTTGAATACAAATCAGTATCACTAGAAAGAAAAGAAGAAAGTCAATCTTACGCAGCCACTTGTAGAAACAGAATATATTACCTTTTTGCGGTTAGTGTATTTGGAAAAGAAAAGGAGGACTTTGTTTGTTGATTATACTTCACGGATGGTATTTGTTCTGAAGTTGATAATTTTTTTTCATCTACAGCTGATATTTTAATACTGTTCACACTGTCCTCAATTCCTTCAGGCATACTTTCATCTGCATTGCCATCAACCCAATATATATCGCCAAATTGTACATCAATTGGTTTATTTGAATATTGGACAGCTTGATGCATACTTACAGCCAATCTGGATGGTTCATTTGATTTATTATTATGAATAGATGAATTACCTAATAGAGGAGGGGCTACTGGAACGTGTGATGTAATTGGATTACGGTTCTTAAATGAACGTGGCGGAAGTGCATTATATGGTCTTTCAACGTCAACACCGTGAGTTAATAGAGAGGCTGACACAGATGAAGGTGTCTGTAAACTATTATTAAATGTCAATGATTTTATTGTTGATTCATATTCATCGTTCGACGATTCGTTTGTCACATCCGTTAGAGTTATTCTCAAATTATCTTTAATGGAATTTGTATTTATCTCTTCGTTTCTTTTATTG